GCACACACTGAGGCTGCGGTCAGGCTGGAGAACACACTCCCAATCTCACCTCGCTGTACAGGGGAGGAGGATCCGCGGAGGGTTTCACAAACATGAACTCGCTGATATCCGAGACCGGCGAGAAGCAGGAGCGGTAACGCGGGGCGGGGGGAGCTGTTGCTGTCACCTGCACGCCCATCACGGTGTCCCCTTGCTTAGGCTCATAGTGCAAGTGCCCAAAAATGTGGCTGGGAGGGGGCTGAAGCGTGTTCACGCTCTCCACGCAGCAGCCCTGGTTGGCAGGTGCAGAGCCCCGCCGGAGGCACCGTACGCCCAGCACTGCCAGTCCCACCAGCGAGACGGTGGAGATGAGCACTAGGGATACAATCAGGTAAAGCGTGATAGTGGGCAATCCCCCACCGTCAGCAGCCCGACCCTCGGAGCCCTGCAGGGCCTCTGGACCCTTCTCCTCCACTAGCACCACCAGTGTGACGGCTGTGGAGAGTGGGGGCTCCCCGGCGTCCCGGACCACCACCAGCAGTTCGTGCGCAGAGGCGTCCGTGTCCTGCAGAGCCCGCGTGAGCCGGACCTCCCCGGAACGCAGGGCCACGCTGAAAAGCCCCAGGTCTGTGGCTTCCACGAGGTGGTAGGATAGCCAGGCATTGCGCCCCGAGTCCGCATCTATTGCCACCACCTTGGTGATGAGAGCAGGAGGGGCGATGGAGGGGGAAATTCGGAACTGAGCAGCGGAGTCCTCCCCAGCCCTGGGGAAATGCACCTGTGGGGCATTGTCGTTCTGGTCCACTATAAAAACATGAACCAGCGTCCTGTTCCTCAGGGCCGGGGAGCCACCATCAGAGACCTCCACGTGGAACTGGAGATAGGTGGTTTGCTCATAGTCAAAAGGGAGCTTGGCAGTGACCTGCCCACTCGTGGGATGTATGGAGAGGTAGCGAGTAGGATCCAGGCCTGGATCTGTCCCACCAGCTCGCAGGATGGAGTAGGAGAGGCGGGAATTCTGCTCGGAGTCAGGGTCAGCAGCAGAGACCGTAACCAGCACGATGCCCTCTGGGTTGTTTTCTGCCACCAGCACTTCATAGGATGCTTGCTCAAACTGGGGAGCGTTGTCGTTGACATCTGTCAGGGTGATTGGCAAGATGGTGTGGCGGGAGAGTGGGGGATTGCCCAGGTCCGAGGCAGAGACGGTGACATTGTAGTAGGCAACATGTTCCCGGTCCAAACGGGTGCTGGTTAGCAGCGAGTACTGGTGCTCGTAGTCCTTGCGCAGCTGGAAGGGAAGATCCGGAGACACGTGGCACAGGACCTTGCCCTGCTCCCCAGAGTCCCTGTCTCTGACGTGTATCACAGCCACCACTGTGCCCGGCAGGGCGTCCTCACTCAGGGAGCTGGAGAAGGAGGTAAGAATGACCTCGGGTGCGTTGTCATTCACATCAGTGACTTCCACCACCACGCTGCAGTGCTCCTCCATGGTGGGCGACCCCATGTCCTTGGCCTCCACTTCGATCTCGTACACCGTCGCCTCCTCGAAGTCCAGGTTGCCCTGGACACGAATCTCCCCAGTTTGCTCGTCGATGGCGAAGATCTGGCGTAAGGCAGCCGAGTTGTGGCTGCTGAGGGAGTAGCGGATGTCTCCGTTGGGTCCTTCGTCCACATCGGTGGCATTTAACTTCACCACGAGGGTGCCCAGCGGCGAGTTCTCCACCAAGCGGGCTCCATAGGATGGTCTGTCAAAGACAGGGTGGTTGTCGTTGGCATCCAGGACCTGAATAGTGATGCGTATCTTGCTGGACTGTGGGGGAGAGCCCCCGTCTTCAGCAGTCAGGACCAAGTGATGGAAAGCTCTGAATTCCCGATCCAGGGCCCGCTCCAACACCAGCTCAGGGAACTTCCCACCGTCAGTGCGCGCCTTCACGTTGAGGTTGAAGTTGTCATTGGCACTCAGGTGATAGGTCTGCAAGGTGTTGGTGCCCACGTCAGGGTCCTGGGCAGGCTGGATGGGGAAGCGGGCACCCAGAGACGCCAGCTCGTAGATGCGCAGGGAAACCTCCTCACTGGGGAACTCCGGGGGGTTGTCATTGATATCCAGGATCTCCACCTCAATGCGGTAAAACTCCACTGGGTTCTCGATGGCAAGTTTCAAGTGGAGGAAGCAGCGTGGGTTCTGCCCGCAGAGCTGCTCCCGGTCTATCCGCTCGCTGACCATTATAACACCGGTGTTCACGTTGACAGAGAAGTACTGGGAATCCGAATCTGACAGTACCTGCAGATTAGCTGCCGCCAGCTTCGCCACATCGGTGCCCAGGTCCTTCGCGATATTGCCCACAAAGGCACCCCGGGTGAGCTCCTCCGGGATGCTGTACCGGATCTGAGCGGAGGAGCTGTG